TGGAGCAACAGGGCCTTGGCCAACAAAACACACAGTTTATGGGGCCAAGAAAGAAAAACAAGAAGGAATCAGACATTTAACTCAACTACCAATACCCTGGCCAGGGAAGCATGGCTTCAAGCACTCATCTGTAAGCTCTGTTTTCCAGCAGCCCTTGGGGGATGCACAGAAGCTCTCCTGGGAGCAGTGATTGGAACTAGGGAGCAGGAGCCTGCCAACAAGGTGATTTCACTCCAAAGAAGCCACAAACAAAGCTGGGGCAGGGGAGGAGACCAGGCTGTGGCACAGGACACTGTGCTCAGGAGCAGACCCTGAGCAGTGCTGTGTTTGTCAGCACAATATAGTTGTTTCAATGCTTGAACCCTATACCCCCAGCTCATTCAGCCAGCAAGAACAGAGGCTGGTATTCAGTAGTTTATAACCACAGAGGTTCAGTTTACCCCCTAGTGGGGTTAACATCAGTGAAAGCACAATGATCACCTCACACTTTGAGGTGATCCAGAAAATTAATTCCTTCAGTAAGCTGCTGATCTGCCTGTTTCTATATTCTCCCTATTTTGCATTTCCCTCTTTCGTCCTTAACTTTTCAGCGGAGCCACTGTGTTTCAAAAACGAGTTTCTTCCGAAGGGCTACAGAGCCAGCTGTAATTCGGCAGCAATCCCTGCAGAGCCCTAGGCTGGCAATGGCATGTCTAGGATGCCAGGCATAAGTTTCTGTGCCTGAGGGATGGCACCTTCCTGATCCCAGCAAGCTGCAAAGCAAGGATTAAAGAACAGAAAAGAGAGATGAGAAAGACAACCAAAGGAATATGAAGGCAAGCACACCACTTAACTGACATTGCCAACAGGATTCGGGATGTTTTATTGAGTAGCCTTTTATTTTTTCTCCCAATTTCTACATTAGCTAATGTACAAGCATGGAAAAAAAAGCTTAATTCTTGGCCTCAGTTGTACCTTTCCACACATCCCCTGCCAAACCACTACATTTCTTTGCCTTTCCTGTAAAACAAGCTGCAAACACCAATTCATAAACACTGGACAACAGCTATGGGGAACCATCCCAAAAGCCAAACCAGAGCTCAGAAACCCAACAGCTAACCCAGTGTACAGTGCCTACAACTGCCCAGCAGAGCCACAACCACATCATTAGATGTATCCAGTACAGAAACTGCCCATTTTGATGACTAACCCAGTTTGGGATTAACTGAAAAGAGACCTATATACTGAAGTCAGTAGTCACCGTACAAATACAAGGAATTATGGACAGCATATATATATGCCACGAGGCCCCAGGCCAGCTGAGCTTTGCATCCTCCGCTACTACTACTGTCTGAAACTTTCCTGCACGCAACAGCAATATTTGTACAGCAAAAAAAGAAGTGTACAGCAAGCCCACCCAATGACTGAACAGGTTTTGAGGCAGCTGCTTCCAAAAGCATCTTTCAGGCAGGATCCAGACCCTTGGTCAGCCCCGGAATGTTTCTCACCTCCTCCCGAAGCCCAGCCTTGGCACTGCCAGGGCACATTCCCAGGGTATCACTAACAACACAGGGCCAGCCGCTGTTTAACCATCTGCTGGCCGAGGAGCTGCAGTGCCAGCCCCCAGGAACGTGGCTGGCGGGGGGGAGCATGTGTGATAGGCAGCTTGGACGTGAGAAACCCCACGTACCGCTGCACGGGGTGGGGCTGCCCTGAGCATCTCCAACCAGCGCTGCTCAGCACAGCACCCCTGAGGCACAGGGGGGAAGAGGGAGGGCTGTGCAGTGGCTCACGTAAAGAACATAGTATGTGGGGGCACTGCATGGGGAACCTCGGCATTAGAGGGGGAACACTGCACCCACCACCTCTTAGGGAGCCCCGCTGTTGGGCAGACGTCGCACCCACCCCTCCCGGGGAGCCCTGCATCCTCGGGGGGTGCATTACCCCCACCACCATCCCCAGCCTCCCGCCCGGGACCCCCGCTCACCGCAACTCTCCGTCTAGAGCCTGGATGACGGCGGCGAAGCTGCGGCTGGTCTGGTTGAGGTACCGATAGCAGGTGCGGAGCCCACATTCCAGCGAGTCCTGCAGGCAGAGCGCGGTGCCGGGGGGCGGCTGAAGGCGGGGGGCAGCCGGCGGAGGGGCCAGGGGCGCCGCAGGGACCCCGTGCTGCTGAGTGCGCCGCCCGCGGCCCCGCAGCCGCCCCACAGCCCGAGGGGGACCCCGCGGTGGGGACGGGGAAAGGGCCAGAGCCCGCTTCAAGAGGAACACCGCTTTGGTGCTGGCCGCCATCGGGGCGGGCAGCGGTGGCAGGGGGCTGCAGCCCGCTCCGCCCCCCAGGACCGCCCGCTGCCCGCCCCTTAACCCGCTCCGTGCCCGCCCCGTCTGAGGAACGCTGATACATGGAGAGCATCAGGACCGCGCGGTGGCCGGAGCCGGTGCGATGCACGCAGGGTACCGGCCCCCAGCAATGCATGGAAAGCCTGAGGCAGGTGCAGCACCGGGCTCATGTGATGCCCGGAGCCATGCAACGCACGGGATGAACGAAGCCGGTGCGGAGCACCCGGGACGTGCAGTGCCCGGAGCCGGTGTGATGCACGGGAAGCATCGAGATCGGGTCACCGGGTTTGTGCGATGCCCAGAGCCGGTGCAGTGCTTGCCGAGAGCAGGAACAGGGTAAAGTCCCGGTCCCGTGCAATGCACCAGGCCCGTGCGTCGCTTGCAACCGGTGCGATGCACGGTAATGCAAGACCCGCTGCTGGGAAACTAGGAGCCGGTGCGATACCCGGACCCCGAGCAATGAATTAGGCCCGAGCCGCTGCAACACCCGGGATGCTCCGATACCGCGCCGGGCACACGGAGCCGATGCTGCCCACGGCTGACACCTGGCCGGTGCTGCCTACGGCAACGCCGCGACCGCGCAGGGAGATGATAACCCCCCCCCTCATCCTTCCCCTCCTCCCCTTCTCCCCGTCCCGGCCCCGCAGCACCGCATCCCCCGCCTCCCCCCGGGCACCGTGCACCGCCCGATCGACGCTGACAACAACGAGCATCCCCCGCCTGTCACCACACCCCGTCCCGCTCACCGGGTCGACCCTGGGCATGACGGCGCGGTAGCCGCCCATCTTGAACCGCAGCAGGTTGTAGATGTCCTCGGGGTGGCCCAGCCATTTCTTCAGCAGCTCCATGGGGTCACCACCGCCGAGCGCACTCCCGCCGCCACCGCCCCCCCTCTATCCACAAACCGGCGCTTAACCGGAGCTGGGCGAGGCCGCCTCTGCCCCGCCTCTCCGCCAATCAGCGCTCTCGTCCCATCGCTCGGTGGGCCGGCTGGACGCCTATTGGCAGAGGGGCGCTCGCACCAGGGGAGCTCCAGCCAATAGAAGGGCGGCGAGGCTGGTGTGACGGCCACCGGCCAGCGCTGATTGGGTGGCGGCGCGCGTCGCCACACGCGCGGCGCTGGCGGAGCGGGAAGGTGGCGGGGGAAGCGGGCGGGCCAAGGAGTGCGGGCCGCGGCGGAGCCTCCTTGTTCCATCCCCGCTGCAGGCCTGAAGGTGCTCGCTTGCTTAAGGCACCCCCTGTCCCCTTAGCGGCAGTTCTCTGGTGCCACCCTCCTCTCGGCAGGATCACCCCAGCCTGCTGTGAGCTGGCATGAGACCGCTGCCGGCTCTGTGCGTTTGGCTCACCACGAGTCACAACGGTTTGGGTTGGGAGGGACCTTAAAGCCCACCCAGTTCCAACCCCTGCCATGGGCAGGGACACCTGCTATAGCAGGTTGCTCAAAGCCCCATCCAACCTGGCCTCCAGCACCCTCCAGACACCTAGGAGCTGCTATGTCATCCTCAACAATGGGAGCTCTATCTGCTGGAGGTTCTTGCGTGTGTGTGTTGTTTTCTGGTTTAGAAGGGTACTGACATTACCGCGTCTCAGTTCCATGCTTGCACTGACATTAACCATCTCCCTTGGCACCATAACCCCATTAACTGGATTATCAATCCCATAACCTGCAACCACTCAAAGGCAGCACAGTTCACATGGGAGAGGCTGTGCAACCCTGGGAAACAGCCTACCGCTGAGGTGTTCAACTCCAGCACACCCTGTTGATGTGCAAGCCACCTTTAGATCATGTGCCCATAAATACTATGTTTGCTTCTGGGCCCTCAGTACGAGAAAGACACTGAGGTGCTGGAGCAGGTCCGGAGAACGGCAGTGAAGTTGTTGGAGCACAAGTCTGATGAGAAATGGCTGAAGGAACGGGGGGTATTCAGTCTGGAGAAGAGAAGGCTCAAGGGGGACCTTACCACTCTCAACTGCCTGAAAGGAGGTTGTAGTGAGGTGGGAGAAGAGACTAACCCCCAAGTAACAAGTGACAGGACAAGAGGTAACAGCTTCAAGCTGCACAAAGGAAGGTTTTGATTGGATAGTAGCAACAATTTCTTCTCCAAAACAGTAGTCAGGCTTTGGAACAGGCTGCCCAGGGCAGTGGTAGAGTCATAGTCCCTGGAAGTGTTCACAAACCGTGTAGATGAGGTCCTCAGTGGCATGGTTTAGTGGTGGACTTGGCAGTGCTGGGGTAAGGGTTGAACTTGTTGATCTTCAAGGTCTTTTCCAACCCAGCTGATTCTATGATTCTTTGAGAACAGTTCTGATGTTGACCCATGCTTAAGCAGCTGGGGAAAACTGCTGGTTCCATCCTCTACAGGGCAGCACCAAATGCTGGAATTCCCCTGTACATCTCAGCTTTCAGGCAAGAAACTACCAAGACAAGACACTGAACTTCAGATGAACATTACTGGTTCTAACTTCAGCTTTTATTCTTCAAGTCAGCAATCTATTGTCAAAATAAACTCAAATACTGGGAGAGTAAACAGCAACAGCTCCTGCCTACTACACAGACAGACACACAGCCAAACAAAGGAGGGATTCATACCATCCCTATTTCCAAACCTTTCTGCTTTCAAGTTATTTTGGAGGTAATGAGGTTTATGCAATCCCTGTCACAAGCACAGCATTTTTAATGATTTATTTTTAAGTGAATTGGCAGTTTGCCACAGAACTAAAATCTGCAGGGGCAGAGATGAGCTCCACCAAGCACTGCTGAGGTTTATTTTTTCCCATGGGATGGAGGCAGCTGTTCATGCAAGAGCTGAAAGAGGGAACAGCCACATCTAATTACACCTAATCATAGCCCAGCACACAGGTACAGAGGCAGGATTACCCAGTAGTGAGTCAATCAAGCTGTTCAGGCAGAAGGATATGCTCCTTTCTGCCAACTCCACCATAAGCCATTGCACCCATAGCAGGACCAAGAGGTAGGAGCTTTTCAGACCCCAGGAATCACCTGCCTGACCTCCTATGCTTTCCATTCGCTGTAGTCCAAACAGGGTGACCAAAATATTTCTGTTTACACTGTTGTATCACTGTAACAAAAACCCAACAGACACGTGCAACTGCTTTCCTTTTTGCATCCAGAGGCACAGAGTGATTCCTGTAACCTTCACTGAGCACTCAACTCTGCCAGCTCTCTGTCCTTGAAGAGCAAACTCAACAGCCTCAAAGAAACCATGAAGACCTTCCCACAATAACCAAGAGACACCCTCCAGGAAAGGAGGAACACAAGGGCAGGTCACTCGGTGCCTGGGGAAGGATCCCCATCGCCTGATAGCACTCTAGGCTGGCATTGAGGACACCACCATGTAAGTCTTTTCCAGCAACCCGACGGTCCAAGAGTTTCCTTCATCACTGCATGCCCAAGAGGACAGTGCTCCTTCTGATATATCTGAAGGTGCAGCTTTCTCCCATGCAGCTTGTCCTGCAGCCAGTCAGAGCTGAACTGAATGGCACAGTCAAGCAGACGTTCCAGATCCAAGAGCTCCAAGAAAGTGCCTTGTGTTAATGGATGGATCTTGGCCAGGTACAAGACCTCATTCTTCATGATGTTCCCTGGAAAGAGTCAGAAATTAGGACACAATAAGGATATTTCTTACCAAGAAGATGCAGACCTATAGCTCCAACCTGTGACTTCTACCTCAAGGATCACAGCTAGCAACACCATTCCCATTATCAGAGGTGGCATATGAAGAGTAGGTTTACAGGTGGGATCAGACTGGAGGATGTTCTCTTCCTACAACCCTGGAAGCAGACCTTTTCTTCAACAAGTACAAGCCAATCCAATCACCCAAACCAAGACATTTCACAGGGCACTGCACCACTGGACTCACGGTGCACCCACATAGTTGAAGCCTGTGGTTACAGGCTGCAAGCCTTGTCCTCAGCGAGAAGACCACATACCCTCAGCTGGATGAGTCGGAAACCATAGACTAAGGAGAAGGAGGCTCACACATGCAGCTCTGTATCTACAGACGTCCCACCCACCTTCCTCCATCTCTTGGAGGCCGCTGTGCCCTGGAACTCACCCAGCCCTGAAAAATATCTTTGGTCTAAGAGCGTGTAGCATATGGGATTGGGCGAGCGTAGGGCATCCAGTGCCTGGCCACGGTGGAACTCCCCAGACAGGATGTCAGAAGCAGGATCAGCCCTTGGAGAGGAGCACCAGTGCATTCGGCAGTTGTAGAAAACAAGGAAGCCTCCACTTTCAAAGTACAGAACCAGCCTGGGAATAGCAGAGAAGTTCAAGTCTCTCATCAGAAACATCCTTGAGCCATTTGTTATAATCTGTTCTGGCTGAAGAAACTTTCTGGCACACAAAAAGACAGCAATGGAATGAAAAGCTACCAGAGGATGAGAAAAGAGCCTGTACATGATGTAAGCTTAGGGAGAAGCACACAGCGAGGCATCAGCACTCACATGCCTACGCATCCTCATGAGAGACAGGGAGGCATCGTGTACCAGTCCCCCATGCAGGAAGACTGCCACAGTTTAAGAAGGAATCAAAGCTGTACCCTAGTCCAGCTATTCGTTCCCTACAGCTTATCACCACACTTGCTTGGGCACACAGGGTCACAGCAAGCATTCCAACACTCTAGGCCATCATCTTAATACAAGGTAGCCTCTTTAATGATTTCAGCCAGGAAACTTGCTTGTGAACCCACACAACTTGCACACAGTTGTTCATTCTGCTGCCCTGTGGTCCCTAGCCAAGAGACAGCAGCAGACAGGAAGATACATCAGCACCTCAGCTCTCCCCAGCAGACAAGTCAGATGACCAAGGGCTCCAGCAGTAGGGTCCACAAATCAGGGCATCTGATGCTGAAACTACTTGTATAGAAATAAAGTAATCCTTCAAAAGACTGCAGGATAGGAGGGCATGGAGTGTGTCCCTAACAAGGACACCACAGACAGAGGCCAGACCTACCTTGTGCATTACTAACCACTTGAGGTAAACAGTTCACAAGAGCAGTCCACAGCATCTTCCTGTACTTATCCCTTGTCCAGGACACTTCCACTGGGACTTAGGACAGACTGTAGCCCATGTTTTCAAGACAGTGCTGCGTTTGACAGCATTGCTCCAGCCTGTGGCTCCAGCCACCCTAGATGTAGGATATTTACCCAATGCTTTTTTTTTAAACATGTAATTGTGAGAAATTGGCATTTTCAGGGCATGATTCAGTCCAGCGCCCTAAAAGTTCTCTCTCTGAATAAAAACCTTTACAGAGCTGGTACTATGATCCCCAGGCTGACAGGCAGCATGCACACCACAAGTGCGCTGTGGATTCCCTGGTTGAACACACCACACAACCACCCATTCCATCTCTCCTACCTACTTATCTTAAGACTTATCAGTGTATAGACAGAGCTGAGAGCATCCACACACACATCTAGTTTGAGGCAGAGAGTGCCTCTCCAGAATGAGACACAGAGAGAAAGCAGAGTTAGTAAGAGTTCCATTAAATACCTGGGTGCAGGGTCCTTCCAGTCCCCCCTCTTATTGGCTTTGTTTGCCCTTGAGAACTCGTTTGCCCGAATGCTGCCAAACAAGCCAAAGTGGAAGCGCAGCCAGTTGCCTGGACCCTCTACTGCTTCTGGGGCTTCAGGTCCTGAGTGCTGGGGTTCCTGCAGCTCCTCCTCCTGAGGATGTGTCTGTGGAACACAATCCTGTCCCTGCCCTCCCTGAGCAGAAGGACTTGCCCCGGTAGCAGCCTCACCCTGCAGCACTGTCTCTTCTGCAGCTGGTCCTAAGGACTCTCCAGCTGCCACAAATGCCAGGTACAAGTTCTTCCCATGAACCTGAGGAAAAAGATGTGATGTACTGAGGAACCCCTCTCTGTTTCCATACAAGTAACTACTTTCTACAACCTCTTTGAAACAGAAGGCACATCACCCCATCCTGAACATGGGATTCATTAGCATTTGAGCACTGAAGTCATTCTCTTAGCACCCCTTCTTTGTCTACATGAAGCACGTGGTATTCCAATGCCACTGCAGCGTGAAGCCCTCCCAGAGGCCCCTATCAGGCCAAAGAAACACCCTATGACAGACACTGGTGACAAAGATCAAAGATTAAAGTCTGTCACCACTGCTTCTCATTTGCCTCCCCACTTTGTTCTGGCCTCAAGTGTCTCAGGACAGGGTGAACTAACTCAAAGGTAGCTCTGAAGCCACAGCCTAGCCACAAATGACTATTAAATGGCTTGCATCTGTGCCCCTGGCTGAGACTATCATGTAATCAGAGGTGAAGCTGCACTAGCACCTGGTCAGTCAAGTCCAAGTCATTGCCTGAGGGAAGTCAGCAAAGTGAAGCCCTCAGCAGGACTGACCCAGCGTGACTATCTCACAAACTCCCACAGTGTAGACATTTCAACCCAACCCGGTAAAAACCCTGCCCTCTGGTGTAAGGTGAGCAACTGTGCAAGTTCACAGCTGAGGGGAACAAGGCTGCTGTTTCTGACAGCCACATACTGAAGAGACCAGCTTTCATCTACAAATAGCTCTAAACAAAACCAACTCTGCATCCCTTGAAAGGCACAGAGCCAGTGCATTAGCATAATCGACTCAAAACTGCAACTAATTCTGGGCATTCTCATGTCCAGCCACATCACTGCAACAGCCTCTCCTCATAGTTAACCTTGATCCTAAACTTTGCACCACAGAGCAGTACTCCAGAATGAGTGTTCACATCTCTCTCATCACATGCACCTATTCTAGCTATAAACAAAGCAGTGGCCCACCTCAAACACCAGCCTGGTGTTGTTCTCAGGTTATGCACCTTCTGTGACTCATGCAGAACAATGGTGTTTGCCTCAGACTTGTCATGGACCAGTGCATCCATCTTTAGTACAGCTCACCTGGGACTCCTGGAGCCTCAGCGCATTCAGGTCATTCACATTGATCTTCCTGCTGCTTCCCCCCACCTTGACCACCACTTGTCCCACAAAAGGGGAAGTCAGCAGCTGGAACTTCCTCACGGATGGGCCCTCTGGCATCTTGAGCAGCTGAGGGAATAGCAGGTCTTTTTCACACTTGGTGCCCTAGACTTGAAGGAAAGTTGCACCTCACAAATACAGAAAACCACTCAGAGACTGAGCTTGCTACAGTTTCCTCACCCCCATCTTCCTTCTCTAGACACTGTGCCAAAGTCCATGAAGAGAAACAGGTTCATTTCAGGCCCAGGGATGTTGGGGAATTTCCATCCCTGGGGATATTCTTAATTCAATCAAATAAGGCCCTGAGCAACCTGCTCTAATGGCACTTTTTGCTCCATAAGCAGGATTATGGCCTGGGGTTCTCCAGAAGTTCTTTCCTACCACAGGTTCCCCTGGAGTCAGAGAACCTTAAATTAGAGTGTTTAGCATCTCTCTCCTCACCAGAAATGAGAGCTCACCTAACTCCAATAGTTAAAGCTGTGATGTTCCAGTACAAAGGGAGGACGCAACCTTGCATAGATATTAATGAACCAGAACAGGCCAGCGCACTGTTCTTTCCATGCCACCATGGCAAGTGCTGCTCCCTGATCAGCACTGGAGTTAGTTCACCCTCTTCGCCTGCTTTACCAGCTGCTCGCCCCGCTGACTGCGACAGCATGGGGGGGCTAAGGAGAATTTATATGCTCTACTAGCAGTATCTGGGATCAGAAGATGCTGTATGAGAGAGAGATGAAGCAGCACCATCCTACAGCATCCTGTAAGTCCCTCCAGGAAGTCACACCAATATATAAGGAGTTATTTCTGGCATGAAATCCCAGCCACATTTGCTTGCAGTGAGGACTTCTGTCAGGACTAGGTGTACAAGAAAGCAGGTTCAAGGACAAAGGAAGCACAGTTTGGCTTTCATCCCATAGTGCCAATTTCCTCTGCAGACTAATTCCAGGGACCAGCACTGACCAGAGGCTCAGCTTCTAACCTAGCTACAAGGCTCTGTGTTACCAGGCACAGCTCTTAGTCTGATGTGAAAATCAACAGTAATCTTGTGCACGGTCCCTCATCAGTGGGGGCATTCCCATGTTATGCTAGCATCTCGGCTTCTCCAGTGTCTGGGCTAACTCAGATACAGACCCACGCTTGCATCAGCTCAGAGTGACTGTGAACCAAAGCCTTCAGTGCCACACACTCCTGCCACAGCAAGAAGCTCTTAGCCCAGAAGGAGCATTTAAGTCAGCCACCTCAACAGGGTTATGAACTGCAGTGTGGTGTGGACATACCCTCAACAGGAACAGGCAAGGCAGTGTGGCTGTATAAGCCTTCATGTGCACAATATGTAGCCCTTCTGGGTGAAACTGTAGCAGGTCTATGAATAATTACCCCACACCTTAGGGGATACAGGAATAAAGCTCAGTCTTTCACTCCAGCAGGGAGGAGGAGGATAACAAGCCCTGTGCAGGGCATGACACCCATCTTCCCAAAAACATGGCCGCTGCATCCCAGAGCAAACTGCCTTAGCTGTCACACTACAGGCCTGGGACAAGGAAAAATACTCCCTATGTACAGGCTTATTTCCAGTCCTTGTGCTCAGACAGAAACCAAGCACCAACACGTGACAAGGGTAAGGCTGTCCAGTTCACCACCTGCACCCAGGGACTGCAGCCCCAGCATGGCTCCAAGCCCCCATACGAAGCTCCAGCAGTGATTTCAAGGCACAGCCTTCACCCTCCACGTACAGAGGGTGCCTGGGATGCAGTGCTTCCCATCTTCCCACGCTTAGCCAAGCACCAACGTGCAGCTCTCCAAAACAACCACATCCAAAGTTTCCACCCTCGTGTCTCCGCAGTGCAGTGGGGGTCCCCCTAATGCCCACATTCCCGCATCCAGGCCTCAAACCAGCTCCCCTCCCAGGCCCACCCTGTGTATGCATCTGGAGAAGCAGAGCACGCAGCCCTCCTGCTCCTGCATGCTCTGTCGCCCTTCCTCTGCCCCTAGGCACGTTCCACAGCAGCTCCATCATCTCCCAATCCACTTACCCAGCCTCCCCACGACCTTCTGCAGCCAGAGCCTTTCCACCCAACTGCTGTTATAGAGAAGGAAGACCCTCCTCCCAAAGAGCAGAGAGTTCCCCCATTGGATGGTGGGGCAGGAATGGGCAGGGTTTAAGGTCTCAAGCGCTGGTCACACTCCCGCTATCAGTCGCGCTGGCGTCTAGGAGCTGGCTGGGAGGGAGGCAGCCTTGGTGCTCGTAGGAGGGCTGTGCGCAGCCACCTCCATCCTCTCCAGAAGCATGGCCCTTGCTGGAGCGTGTTTTTGGTGTGAGGGTGGTGTTTCTGCGTGCAGCTGGCAGCTTTTAGGCTGTGCAGCAGCCTGCTGTGCAAAGCTGTGTTAGTGAGCAGACTAGAATGAGAAGTCAGTATTAAAGTGCCTTTGGGGGATTTTCTCCTCTCCGCTGTGCTAGGAGGATTACCTGCGGTACAGAAAACATATTTAGTGGTTTCCCCTATTTGTGTTAAAATCATAGAATGGTTTGGGTTGGAAGGAGCCTTAAAGTATGCATAGTTCCAACTCCCTTGTTTGCTAGACAGGGTTGCTCAAAGCCCCATCGTACCCAGCCTTGAACTGCCCTGTTGCTGGGTCTGTCACTTTTGGTGTTTGTCATCTTTCTGACTTGAATTACTCTGTAATTCTATCATTTTGAGCTCCCTGGAGCAGGACATTGTACCATCACTTCTCCAGGTGTATTTCATGTGGGCTCATTTACCCCCAGCCCTCTCCAAGAAGCCCATGAGGATAGTCAGAGTCAAGTAGCAGCCTTCTGCTTTTATTGTCATTCTTTTATTTTCATTAGTTCTAAAGGTGTAGAAGTTACATGGATTGGTAGCCATACTACTTCATAATATATATTTTTTTACATCTTTAAATAATTACAGCTTGTTCAGTTGGTTGGTTTCCCTCTCCCCCTTCCAAATAAGCGCATTTCTGTGGGACCTTCCCAGATGACCTGAGAAGCATCAAACTTTATAAATGGGGAGAAAAAAAGCAATGCAGACCACTACCCCGACCTAGTCACAGCTTCAATTTATATTTATATTAAAAGTTGTTGATCGATTTTTAAAGCTCCCTTACAATATTTCATTGCTCGTCCTGACTGCACCCTCTCCAGCCAACCTGTAAGATTGGAAGTGAAATAGGGGTCTCTTCTGTTCAATTTACACAAGAATAACTGAAGTGAGTCAAGATACTGCACTTCCACAAAGGGGAAAGACATTTAGAACTGGATAAATGACCTTTCTATCCCTCTGGCTCCCCATCCTGTTCTCATCTGCCCATCTCACTCTGCTGACCACTGACCGTTGCAAAGGTCTGGTTTGGCACAACCAAACCCTTTGACATCAAAATCTGCATGTGTCGTTAGTGATGGCCTCTAAGCGAACAAGTCCTGCAAAGGCAGTTATATATGTGCTTAAGGGTTTTGCAGGATTAGGCCCTTCCCTCTTACTCCTCAGGGCAGGGATAGTTCTCAGTCCTGCATTTGTGTAGGACCTGGCCTGGTATGGTTTTCACTAGGCTTTCCAGCAATAAGAGCAAGAAATATCTTGCCTTAATGTGTCTCTAATAATTGCATCTAATCTCATTACCAAAGCAGACTCTAAATGCCTTTCCATTCATCCTGTGAGTATCCCTTCATCTGTCACTTCTGGTGTTTGTCATCCCAGGTTGCCTATCCCAGCTCTTACCCACAAGCAGGGGCTCTGTGTGACTCCAGGGCTTGGAGACAGCATTCAGTCTCCTGCAGTGACTCATTGCTTTGAGTGCCCATGCCTGAGCAATTAATTTACCAATGATGTTGTCTCTCATTAGAATCTAATGTTTATTTGGGAAAGCCAGTTCCAGCATGTGGGTAGTATACACTGGAACAGGAACCCAGAGAGGCTGTAGCATTTCCATCCTTGGGGATCTTCAGTATTTAACTGAGAAACCTGATCTAGTCCCTTCAGATTTGAATTACTCTGTAATTCTATTGCTAAGAGTTCCCTAGGGCAGGACCCATATATTATGGTGTGTTTGTACAACACCTAGCATGGTGGTGCTCCATCTGAGGTCAGCCTCTCACCATCTTGGTATCAGTGTTGGCCAGAATTGGCCAATGCTCCTGAGCCAACAGTAGCTTTGCAACAGTTTTGGGTGGTTCAAAAGAACCAAGTGTATCTGGAATTCTACTGCTTATGATGCAGAATGGGGGGACGAAAGAGCTTATTTCTGCCACTAAAGAGAGCCAAGTTGTCCTCACAGCCCCCAGAGTCTCACCTTTTGAAAGCAGACATCCTGTTCTGTTATCAGGGTCCTTGTAAATGCTCCTCACTGTGTTTCAAGAGTTATTTTTGAGGCTCCAAGGGAGGCTGAGAACAAGTTAACAGATTTCTAACATGGTCATTTAGATAACCTGAGGGAGCTCATGTTCTGCAGAGGATTTTCCCTCTTGCATTGCAAGCAGACTCCTTTATGGCATCTCAGGATGTGTTTTAAGGGGAGGAGAAAAATTCAGCCAGGGAGTTTGGCTTTGAGGGGAGGAGGAGGAGCACAGTAGTAAGGCAAAGTGGACAGAGCCTCTGGGAGCATCTGTATGGAAAGAGAAATGGGGCATGTGGTTGGACTTTCACCTGCTCCCCTCCCTCTCAGGTTGTCCAGGGTAGTTCTAAGTATCTCAAATATGTGCATTACCCAGGTGGTATCTTTGTGGTGCATGCTTCTCTGATATGGACAGGAATTCAAGCCAGATCCCAAAAGATCTCAAATACCATTTACAAAGGGATATAGTTCAAGGAGGAGCCTGGCTAAAGACTTGCATGTCCAGGGAGAAACACCTTTATGTTTTCACCCCAAATTCATGTTTCAGGTGTTATTTCTGGACTCTTCTCTGCAACCTGCCAGGTCTAAGCAGAATCACAGAATTTCATTTATTTTTATTCACGTTTCATTAATGTCTTTTGCTTGTTTGTAATTAACACTAATGAGGCATCCTTTGTCATGGTATTTTTCTCTGGGGAGTGCAGAGGCTTTGCCACCCCTCAAAACCCTGCTGAGTTGCACAGAGCACAGGGAATGTGGAAGGGTCTGTGACTCTAGTCCCAGTCTTTATCACGACCAGTCCAGTTGAATTCTTCTCTTTAAAGAAGCTTTTCTACCACCAGAGGAAAATGACGAGTTCAAACAGAGACAATACAATGCCATTCTTTTGCTTCAAACATGTAGGTGGCTTTCCATGTATCTCGGTGTTTGGGTGGAAACACTCTTTGTGGGAATGTTAAACAGTGGGAGACAGAGGATGGCACATTTGGCAGGGATGAACAATCCCTCTTCTAGTTTTTCACTTGGTAGTTCCGTACTCAAGTTCTGGATGCAGGGAGGAAAAGAGAGGAACTGGGAAGGCAAGAAGAGTAGCAGAGTGTGAAGTGTCTAGAAATCAGAATGGAGAATCTTGCAGGATGAGGTCTTCCAGAAATTCTTTGTCTGGACATAAATGATGAAAACATCCTGGCAAGCATCTGGTGAAGCCCTTAGGCTGCACAGGGAAGCTGCGGCATCTGCAGTGCTGGGGTTTGCTAAGCACATGCTAGAAGAAGAGCCATCAGGGTTAGTTTAGGTAGAATCGATCCCTTTGGGAAAAGGGAATGAGTCAGTGAGCAATCAACATCTCCAACTCTGTTTGCTACGATTCTCTGGTTGCTGAGAACCTTATGGGCAAGAAGAAACAGGAGTCTTGTTTAATACTCATGCATGAATGGAGTTACGCTTTTCTTGCGGGCAAGCAAGTCTATGCACATGCTTGGTACAGAAAACAGCTCCCACCTACCTCCATTAGAGGCTGAAGCCTTTGCTTGTTTGCAGAAGGTGGAATCTTAAAGGGTTGGGTGTGTGAAATGGCCATGAGGCAGTTGTTAGGGGGAAGTGGGCACTCACAGGACAACCAAAAATAAAGGACAATCAGATTTCATCAATGACATCAAAACCAACATAAAAGTATGCAAAAGACTTAAATTAACTGTCTCAAAAGCAATGGCACAGCAATGTTAGAAGAGCATCTATCATTTGCTGTGCTCTTGAATAATCTCTCAGTCTGGTTTGTAACTATCCGTAATGGAAGAGTCCGGCAGATTCCACCAGGATTTGATAACCAGTGTGGGTCTTCTCTAACTGATTCCAGAAGCTTCTTCTTTCCAAAATCCCTCTTTGATTTTGGACAGACCTTCTCCAGGCTCAGCCAACAAACTGTTGAAAACACAGTCCCATGATTTCATACTGATAAATAGGAAAGGAGTTGCTATTAAATACGGACATTCATTAGCTTTTCAGACCATCTAGGAAAATGAAGACAACACTCTAGATGTGTGAGCTGGGGATGTGTATGCAGGAAGGTCTCTTTTTTTCTCTGCCCTAGATCATATCAAATCCACTAAAGCCACTACAGCATATCTACTGAAGTCTGTTCTGGAGCTGGCTCCATTTGGGTGGAAGATCACTGAATTTGGATAATGAGAAGATGGTGGCATTATCTTCTGGTCAGGAAAAGAACAGATGGTGACAGTAAAACAAAGTGTGTTTGTTCCACCTTTGTCTATTAAATGCCAGATACTTTTAAATAAACAAAGCTCAAGTACTGTGTCCATCTTTGTGTTTTCTGGCTATTTTATAGAAGATGGTGGCAATCAGATAGAGAGGCTCATTTAAAGTGGGAAAAAAAGGCTTCAAATTCATTAGCTACTTTGAGATTTGAGTCTTCTCTGTTAGTTTCTGAAGAGCTCTCCTACACCTCAGGAAAGTCCTCTTCACCTCTTTGCTGGAACACCTCACAAGGGAAGAGAAGACAGGAGAGAGAGGGAGGTGGGAAACAACATTGACTTGATGATTACATGGCATCTTCTTCATCTCTCAAGCAGATCAGCCTGAAGTTCACGGATGGAAGACCAGGTTATGCAGTTATGATGTCCCCATGGTTTTCAGCTAACACCAGGCTGTTCCAGGAGTCCTGTTTGGAGCTGGTTTGTGGAGACTGGCTGATTGCTGACTGGTAAGCCTGTGGGGAAAGCTTCAGAGCTGTAATCGCAGGGTGAATAGATGCCCCATGTCCAGCCATGGCAGAGACTGAGAATGCCTATGGAAAGAGGAAAATCCTGTGAACAATGCTTCAAACCATAGAGGACTATAAGAATCCTTTTATGGGGCGCTGGTGCTATTGTAATAATGTGTCAGAGGATTTGCTGTAGAGCTGCAGATTGCAGCCTGTACATGATATTTTGAACAGGCTACATCCTAGTTCCCATCTTTGTCCCACTTCCAGCATCTCCCCCCTCTACCTGAGAAATTGGGCTGGGGTGCCCATAATGAGATGAGAGCCCAGGTTCTGTTTTTATGGGGCGCATTTCTTCCGTGGTTGTGGTGCTGCTGCTGCTGCTGGTGGAGCTGGTGGTCGGGGTAAGACTCTCGCTGCTGGATGGACCTGTGAGAAAGCAGATGGTAAAGCAGGCTCTTCCCAAAGACCTTTCGTACAGAGCTGTACCCACCCATGAAGAAGTGAGTTTGGGTAAAAAATAGCATGAAAATAGTGGGAAGGGCTTTGTTGCTGCTGAAGGGCATTCAGCCATCCCCCACTGTTAAAGAATCATCCCGTTTTGTGGTGGGGTGTCTGACTCACAGGACATGATGATCAGAAACACAAGCACCCACATGTATACACATACAATAAACTCCTCCAGGTAACACTTACCTGCTGATGTCTTTGTTTTGTTAAGGTTCTTCGGCTTGCGCTTCCTCGTCTGAATGCCTTCTTTTCTCATTGCTAAAGGCCTTGGAACCTATGGACCCAAATATAAAAGCACATTAGTTTCTATATAAGGTGTATAAGGTATATAATGTATAAGGTGTATAACGGTTCTGTCCATAAGGTTGTCTGAATGTCTCCAGCTCCACCTTGTAAGCTCCATGAAAACTATCTGATTTTATTGAAAGCAACAAGATGGAGCCCAAATTCACTGGTCAGCACTGGTATGTCAAGGCTACAAGATGTGCATCCAAATGAGCACAGGTTTTCACACATAGGTATTGAGTATTTTAAGGCCAGAAGAGAGACAACAGCTTGCCTGATTTACTTTCCTGTTTAAGCAGAAGTCTTTCTGGCTAATCCCTGATATCTGGAAACGTACCAAGCCTGTGTAGGGAGACCTGCCTTAAGGAATGATCTTACTGCAGTAGTAATCCTCATAGTTAGATACATGCTGAGATTTCTAGGGAGAATTATTGGGTTGGGTAAGGCTTCCCCTCATCCACCTTGTCTTCCAGCTTTGACCTATCTCTCATAAATGCTTTCATCCACTGTGAAGTAGTGGACATAATTGAGAGCATGGATGTGTATAAAAGCCCTGGGAATAGCAGGCAGAAGCAGAGCTGGGATTTGCTACTGTAGCCAGGGTGGTGAAGGCCTCCATCTCTGCCATGGGGGTGGATTGCCACTGACTGATGGAAGAAGGGCTGGAGATTTGCATCTTGAAGTTCTGCTATACCTTGGGCTCCAATGAGACTCTGTAGATATGACACAGATGCATGATGCCCCCACTAACAGGAAGAGATGATCTGGGCATCCATGCAAGAGAAACTGTCTATTAGTCCCATGAGAAGTCTACAACCAAGTCTTAGCTGGGATCTGACACCCAGTGTGGAGGGGCTCAGCTTTTCCTTGCACTTTTGACTCAGATTTTTCACTAAAGTGCCTGAATTTAGGTAGCAAGAACCTGCTCCTAGTTTTATTGAGGTTTAAGATTTTGATGCACAGGGTGGCTAATTAGTATGTGAGAAATGCCCTACATTCATCACCCACTGCCAATATAAACATGATGCAATGTTGAGGGGGGACTAAAAGCCCACAGCGACAGCAGGACCAACAGCTCCCAGAGACCACGAAGCTGTGCAATGGACCCAGTCCCTTGGTGCTATTGATACCCTGGCTGTAGAGAGCAGAAACCACTGGAGGTGTTACCCCGTGGAGCTTCATGTAGAGTCCGCAGGCGTTACACACAGGCTCTCCCTCGGCGTTTCTGCGCCACAGCGTGGTTGTCGTCGTGTGGCAGTTGGCACAGGAGAGGCCAACACGGCGGGAAGCTGACTGCAGGGAAATGCAGAGGAGAAAACACATCAGCACCTTGCTGCTACCACCGGCAGCAGCTCAGATCCCAGTGAGTGGGAGGCTTCCCTCTCCTTGCCTCTCTTTTCTCTGTCTCTGTGAATAACACAACTACCTTTTCCTTCCCCTCTTGCCTTTCAGCTTCTGCTCCACTGCCTTTCCACTGCCCGCCAGTGCTGCACAGACATCTCCTGGGACATCTCAGATGGTGCCTGAGACATCACCTGAACAGAGCCCCAGATTTCCAGCAGGTCTAATAGCAGCTTAGAGACCCACTGCATGTGCACACCCCTACACTGAGGTGTCTGAATCTAAGACCCTCCTGCCCTTTCAGGCTTCTAAGCCTTTCTCGGAATCACCTCCAAGCATCATGGCATATCCCAAGAAGATGTTATCAATGCCGTGAATGTTACATACTCCTTACTGGCTTCGTGTGATGTTGCATTTGTGGCTTGAGGGGGAAATAAGAAAGAGTGCTTCCAATAGCATCATCTTCCTAAAGAAGGATAATTAATAGGAATCCCCACTAATGAAGCAGTACAAAGAAATGGGCTTTCTAAAGTTCCCTTTCTGGGTGAACTCGTTTAGCTACGCTCAAAAGGCCACAGGAGAAAGGCAATGGACTTGAAATCACATAAAACATAAGATTTGAGCTTGGAAGCAGAGTGGGAGGTGGAAGAAGGAAAAGCCATATGCTCTGTGCCTGCCTGAGACCTCCCAGCACCCTTCAAAGCTCAGGTCTTAAGAGGCTGAGGATAACGTCTGAATGGGCAGGGGTCAAATTTGCTTTGCTTGCTTATAAAGGCTCCCTAAAAAGGAACCTACAGGGAAGAAATCTGGTGGTCTTGGACATCTAATCAGCTCTGCAGACCTGAACAGCACAGCTGATAATGGGGTGAAAGCCTGGGAGATGAGGACCTGGCTGAGGAGCTGCCAGAGATTTCCTCTATGATCTTTGCCACAGCCTTCTCTCTGTGCCTTCTTTGTCATTATGACAGGATTGGTTAATCTACAGCTCTGAGATAATAACAATTGAAATTCAAGTGCTTCTTAAGACATTGAAAGCTGGAAATCCCCTTGGTGAGGAGAAACCAAACACTTCTTTAGTTGTAACTTCACCATGTATTTGCTTTAATCATTGTCCTTTGTAAATGGACCAAGAGCTTAAAATAGAGCTTGCAGCAAAGACAAAGATCTCCCCTTGCAGAGCTCTCTGGCATATCTCAGTCACCAAAAGAAAAAGGGTTTACACAACGACAGATTAAACCAAATCACTGACTATATTTATTTAGGTAGACCAGCTGGCGTTAATTTAACCACAGCCCTACATTGCATTCCTAGGCAAGTCCTGCTTTTCCTCGTGGAATTTCTCTTCTAGAAGAAAAAGCAGGAATTTGGCCATGTTTGTAAGGTTTCCCAATTGCCAGCTGCCCAGACAAGTGACAAAAGTGTGTGGATAGATCTGCGCAGCTCATCCGTTTCTATTTCTTATGGGTATTTCCAGGCCTTACCCCAAGGCTGTCTTACGCATGGCTGCTTACGGTAAAGGACCAAGCCTGGTACCCAGCGAGGCATCCCAGATGTGCCCGAGGGTTACAGGTAGGCCAGTAAATGAGTGAGGGCAAGGTCCTGGGTGCTAGGGTGCAGGCACTGGTTGTCAGCGCCGTGTTTAGGAAGAGCCATCACAAGAGGGCGCTGGGTGGCTGTGGCTGGTGGCAGCGCTCAAGCTGCCGGTGTCATTTCTGACACTTGCGGGGGACGGTTTGAGCACAGACAGGTCTGAGCCATGCAGAGGGCAGCGCAGGCTGGGGATGGAGCCCCATGGAAGACAAGGAGTGGACAAACATGGTCCTCAGGATAGCTTGGTGGCTCCCTTCCGCCTGAAGTCGTAGAATCACAGCCTGGTTTGGGTTGGAAGGGATGCTAAAGCTCATCCAGTTCCAACCCCCTGCCACGGGCAGAGACATCTTCCACTAGACCAGGTTGTTCCAAGCCCCATCCAACCTGGCCTGGCGCACCGCTAGGGATGGGGTCATTTTGCCTCACCTTTGCACACAGCCTTGCCCCACATGCATTTGTGTGATCTTGACTTACCAGCCTCCTCTGAGGTTTGAACAAGGGCCGGTTGATGCCATTCATCTTGTGGTAGAGCCCGCAGGCATTGCAGAGGTAGTGTCCTGTGCCATCTCTCCTCCAGAGCGGAGTGGACATGGCCCCACAGTTGACACATTCTCGCCCCTCTGAATAGTCATCAAAAAATTCTGCTGCCATGATGGGAGAGAAGGGAGAAGGGTTGGTTATGAGGCCATACATTTAATTTCTTGTCTGGTTCTCAGTTTAGCCTAGAGTGACATTTCAAGAAGTCACAAATATTCGGCTTTTATCAGTTGCAAGAAACAGCTCTTCCTTTCTTAAGGAAGCCCCCCCCGGGATTACTGGGCAGAGGAAACCCTTTTCCTGCTTTGCAGTGTTGGCTGCAGGACTTCTGTGGCAGCAGGGATGTGCTGGGACACAGATACAAGGAGACAGAAATAGAAACCTCCCCTTCTGCTCTGACGTTATCCAATTTTCAAGATTGGACATAGCCAGGGCAAACAGATTGAGCAGGCGAACAGCCGTGTTTGCAATCAAGACAGATTTCCCGTGGCCAGGACAAACACAGACCTGGGCCCACAGAGGAGAACTGCCCAGAATCAGACAGATGCCCAAGCATCTCTCAACAGGGCTTAAGCAGGTGTGGGCAGAAAAAGCTATGCCACATTCTCTGTTCCTCACCCAGCCCTCAGCAGAGGTGAATAGCTGCAGAGAGCTCAGGGGAAGAGATGTTCATGGGTCTTTGCATAAGAACATCTCCTGAACTAGAGGAGCCCACATGTACAACCCCAGCTCAGGCTGTCAGCTAACAGACATCATCACTGGGCATTTGCGTATCAGAGACAGCTTTTGATGCAAATCTCCATTGTGCTTGATGTCAATCTCCAGGGTGCATTGACCCACCACGTTCCTGGTTCATCCTCCACCAGGGGCTGTCTGAAGCTGTGATATGAGGATGAGGACCACTGCCCTGGGCTGGGCCAGACCAGTCCCTCTTGCTATGGTAGTCCTTATCATCTGCAGGGCAGTGAAGAGATCGACACAAGGCACCTGGACTGTACCATCAATTGGTCAACTCACCCTTGAATGCAGTACCCTCAAAAAGCCAAGAACTTTGGCTAATGAAATACAAGCATCATCTGTTGGCCTTGCTGAGATGTAGATATATCTGTATCAAAATGGCATGGCCCTTGAAAATGCGTGTTACTGATGGTCCCACCTGAAGACTATCAGCTACTGAGTTCAGCTTGGGGATGTATTTCTTGTGCTGCAAAACCATTCCTTCCTGCGCATGGGCATGTTCTGATGTGGCGACCAAAACCAGAACACGAGACAGTAAAATAATTGGGGAGAAGAAGAAATTGACAAATGGCAGCAAAGGGCTCCGTTACTCAGCATAGGCTGGGAATAAACTGAACTCCTGAAAAAATTCCCAAGAAACCACAGCACACAGGAAACGTTTGGAGGACAGCAAGAGCTTTGTATCAGGACTTTCAGCCAGTGTAAAATTAGCTTTTAAAATGTTATTAGGCATCTTGCTATATTTTGTGCTTGTCTACCTGCTTCTTACATGATCGTCTCAACTTCCTGCTGGAAGAAAATTGTTCCCTAAAGAGCAAACCAACCAAATTTGGCCTCCTGCCAATCCGTGTCCCAATCCCATGTGGATTCGCTGATATCTACCAAGGGTAATGTTCAAACGTCAGCATTATTTTCTCCTTTCTCCAGACTATTTTTGGATCTGCAGGAAACTACGTAACCATGAACCAGCCAAAGGATTAAAAAATTACTAAAGTGGTGCCAGTAAACTGAGACACAGAGAAAAAGGTTCATGTGAGCCTATTTCTGCCTAGAAAACCAGGCTAAAAATGACAAGAGATAGGCCCATGGGGTAATGCTAGAAAACAGTAATGAGTGTGCCCATGGAGCAGAAAAGGAGGAATCCGGTATCTTCTCAACAGCTTGGGAAAATCTCATTACCTTTGAGCAGTTCTGGTGGGTTAGGAGAGATGGGAATCCCTCCAGGTGACATTGTACACATGGATTCAGTGATACTGGTAATCATAATGCCTCACTTTCCCCTTCAAAATGATGATTGAATCACAGCCAAAATCTAGATCAAATAAACTTCCTTTGAAAAGAGAAGGGATTGGAACAGCTGGTCAGGCAAGAACTCATTTCCTTGAAAAAATCTCACGGAAAACATTTCACTTTTTTTTTTTCATCTTAGAGGTTGTTGAGGTATTTTTATTATAATTTTCCAAAGAAAAAGCCAAATTATTTTCACAATAATTTTTGTTCTGTGAGAAAATCCCTTCTTCTTCGAAAATAATTCAGTACAAAGTTGTTGGCATAATCCAGGGAGAATTTAGACAGCAAAAGTGGTCCAAAGGTAACAGCTAAAACTCTTGACTGACGTGTGTTGGGTTTGTGACTAATTACAAAATATCATCTTTCCTGGAGATTTTTGCACCAAAAAACCCAAATCTGAAAGTTTTTAATCAAAGAAAAAGGAGGAGATTCCTAACAGTCGCATGTTAAGAGTTGGACTGGCTCTTGAATAAGAAGGTCCCTCAAAACGGGTGTGATACAAAGAGATATCAAATATGAGTATACTTCTGGGTTTAGAAAAAAACAGAGTATGTGGAATTGAAACCAGGCAAAGTGTATGTCTCTTATTTTCTGACAATAACCAAATTTGCTACTGAACAGTAAGTGTTATTTCCCAAGAGTTTGTGTGACATCCAGATCCACGTTATTTTTACTGTCGGTTTGTATTCAGACAGCCACACCACCAGTACAAAGCAGTCTTGAGGCTTGCTTTCCTTTTTAATCTGTATTTTTTGAGCTATATTCATCACTACTGGTTTGGTGGTTTGGTTTGGTTTGTTTCAATTTACATGGGCTTTGGACTGAGGCTTCTCTCTTAAGGGACTTTCATTGGATTAAGTTTTCACAAGTCCTCTTCTGCTTCCATAGTAAAAGCATTTGTGTGATGTTCCCCTCTCAGCTCTAGACAAAGGCAATCTTTGTGAACATTAATAAACTGGAATCACTAGTGCTCGAGGTGCGAAGGAACAGACTTTGTTCCCAGGGCGCTCTGAGGCTCCACGCAATGGGTGGCTCTCCCTAATTGCAGCCTTCATGGGGCAATATCAGTGGGTGCGTCCCTGCGTGCACCACTCAGTGCTGAGTCAGAAGATGACGTCTGCACAGTGCAACCTCATTAAAACCGTTCATCAGAGCAGGGGGAGCTCCTTGACCACAAAAGATCTCACCTCCATCACAAGAGATCTTCATCACAAGAGAAATAACCCTCTCCTGCTTCAGAGTAGGCTTGATGATGGCAAAGGGTGTGTCTTGGACACTAATGGTTGCCGGCTTAGAGAGGATGGTGTAGGCTTAGTGCATGGCCCTTAGTGAATGAAAGGCATTTGAGCCCCCGGTGAAAACTGGAAGGCAAGGGACTGGATTTCTTTTTAATAGAGGTACTATAATTTCACAGCATCACTAAACTCAGGGATGAAGTTGCCAAGGGGAGCTGGGTTGACCTTGCTGACACATCCCAGCTGCTCTGGAAAACCTGAGGATTACAAAATCTCATTACAACATAATGAGAAAGCATCACCTGCAGAGTTGCAGCCATGCAGTTTGACGTAGGTGGATGTCCCAAGACCTAGGAAACCCAAACGATCCCAGGGCTCAGAGCCCAAAGGAACCATGATCCATCGTTGGGCTGAGCTATATTTGGCATGGAGGTCACTGGGCTTCAAGTGCACTAATTGTTTAATTTGCCATTGTTATTACTAATGGGGATTAAGAAGGCAAAAAGCAGTGAAGTGTTTTCTTGGCTTCCGTCTCGGGGCTGGAGCTCTAAATCCTGGCATTATGAGATCCCCTGACACTTATTCCTTGTACTTAGCAGCCGGGAAAGGAAACGTTTATTCAGGCAGCAAATTGCTCGAGCGGCTCCCGGAGGGCCCTGAACAATGCGGGGGGAAGGAAAGGCTCCCCCAGTCACACTCAGGGCAATAGCTTCCGTTTTGTGGCATAGGAGCCGCTGCCTGATAATGGAGATTTATGGGTCTGTCCGGTGACCTCTGTAACAGCCTTTCTGCTGGAAAGATTTACTCCTTCTCTCAAAGCCAGGTATGGCCAGTGCTGGGACAGGGCTGGGGAATGGGCAGCGTTTGCTGGATACACTGAGAAGGACACAGTCCCATTACTGGAGTAGCCTCATGTATGCTGAATGGCCTCATCTTCCTCACTGAACACACAGCTCCTATAAGTGCCTTTGCCTAGTCCTTATCTTGGATAGTATCAGTCTTGGGACAGTCCTTTTTATGGGTTGGGTCACTCTCATTGACTAACGCTAGTGGGCTTCTACCTAAATCTTCTTAAGACCCTACCTTTAGTCTACAAAGGAGCTTCTCACATGAGAGCAGATCATGAAATCTTGCTGAATTATCCAGCTGGTGGAGAGGATGGATTGGGTCCTGTCCCTATCCTGGTCTTCAGATTACTGTGTAAAAGGAGATCTTTTTCCCCTCACATCTACTGTTTATGAGAACTGCAAGGTCCGCAGGGCAGGAAATGTCACTTGTGTGTTGCACAACAGCCTCCTAATCTTGGGTGAGGCCTTAAGCATGCTAATCTCAGAAATACTTTCTACAATGCAACATTCAGTACCCATGGAGCCAGGCCTAAGTGGGGCGCTGGGGTCGGTAGGGAAAAAGCATTCTTGGGTATGGCCCTCCATGGCTCTTAGTCATTGGGAGTGGTGCTTCATATCCCCCGCCATGCCCACAGAGATCGACTGGTATGGACAATGCAGGGCTCAGTAAGAAAGCAGATCTGAACACTGCCAGGCAGCCCACATCTCTACAGACACATGTCCAGCATGGCTAGGACATGACAAGCATCTCTGACCAAAGACATGGCCCACCCAAAGTCTGAATGCTTTTGCCTTCCCAACCTTGAGAATCACATACCAGATGGGGGTCAGAGGGAGGTTGCTCAGGGCTTGAGTCTGAAGAGCTAAAGAGTGGCTTGAACAGTCATCCCTGAGCCTTTCCATCATCTCTGCTAACCCCAGCTCTGCCAGGCTGACTGTGTCCAGACCTTCTGGGTTTGTTTGGGCTTTTCTTTAACAACCCTCAGCCTCTCA